CAGCCTACAAACTTCTTCAATTAACTCTGATCATTTATTATCGCCGATCATTGATCAGAGATAAATAAACCTTAAGTTGCTACTGCAAAATAACAAACTTCAGTCTGCAACCTGGCAAAGTATTGCATGGAACTGTAAAATTAATAAGAAAACATCTAAATTATAAGAATCACATGAGGCCTTGCACACATGAGACCTTTTGCTTAGTTTAACTCACTTCTGGAATATGGCCTGAAGACCCATCCCAGTTTGGTATTTGCCCCTGGCTGGAACATGTTGCTCATCCCTAACCGAGGAGTGTAAACCTATTGATGACATCATCATTGTCATCACCTTCCACAGGAAGCTAGCTGCTTGGACATAAAATACACCATAATCCTGAGGACCACAAGATCCAGTGCTTCATAAGCCTCCATGTCTGGAAGCATCTTTTGGGGGAAATGGAACTGCTGTTGTCTCCAGTGGTCACGGCTGACCTTTAAGGAGCAGGAGCGGGTGGAACAAGAGAAGAAGCAGCAGAAGCATGTGAGATTCTAAGCCTTTGAATCTAACATTTGAGTCATGAATATTTTCCATCATGCCCAGCTTTCTTCAACCACCACATTAAAAATTTTTAATTACCCCTTGAGTCATTTGACAAATTCTTTCTGAATTGTGAATTTGTCTGTGTTTTTATATTCCCTTCTTTTTCTTCTTTCCCCCTTTACATCTTGCCTGCTCTATCATAACTAGAAGGAGTCCCTCCCTGAAAGATGGTTAAAGATTTGGAAGCTAAGCCCTGTGAGAAATGACTGAAGGAGCTGGGTATGTGACATCTGGGAACCTGAAGGGCGCTCACCTGGAAGATGGGGCAAGATTTTCTGCCTAGGATTTGAACCAATGGTTTCAAATTGTAAGAAAGGAGATTTTGACTGAACATAAGGAATCCCTTCCTGATAACAGCTGTTTGTGGAACAGACTAGCCTGGGTGGGCCTAAACGCTCTTCATTTGGGGTTTTGAAACAAGACGTTGGGTAGCCATCCCTCAGGATTGGTTTAGCTTTTCCTGTTTTGGCAGGATTTGGACTCAGTAATCTTTGAGACCCTTTCCAATTCTACAGCTTGATGAATCCAATAGATTTAAGTTGTTTGCAGAGACTGCATTGTTGCTTAATATTCATACAACTTAGAAAATGTAGATGATGACAATTATGGTTTACTCTATGTAAATCATCATCACCACCACAATACATGACAGTAGAGCAAGAGGAGGAAGCTTCGGGAAAGGTTTTGAAAGAAATGAGAAGTTTCTTCATTGAGGGCTTCTCGGAGGCAGTTGAAAGTGTTGTTTGAGCTTTGGATGCCTGTCTGGGAGGTGACTTGTAGGCTTTTGTTAGGAAGTTGATGACTGACAAAAAGGCATGGGGAACATTGAAAGGGTTGCGTACGTGACAAATAAAAGGAGAGGGCCCTCCTAACGTCCAAAGTATGAAGAAGTCGTTCATGGATTGTGGATGGTGATGGAAAGAAAGATGGGAGAACCAGTGGTTGAGAGAGATGAAACTGAGACACCACTCTAGGGAGGAAGGAGACATCAAGGAACAGTTTTATCAGGATAGAATTGTATATAAGGGTAATCATGATGTAGGGCCACAAGGTCACTTGCTCAGCGAGCTGAAGTAATTACAAGGCGAAAGGCCATTTTGAAGGAAAGTAGACAGAGATCCACTGAGGTTAGCGGTTCAAACAGAGGCTTAGTGAGTTGTCACAAGACTAAGGTCAAGGACCATTGTGGAGAGGGCAGGTGAACATCTGGGTAAGCGTGTGACAATCCCTTAAGAAAACACTTGAGCATGGGATGTCTGAAAAATCAAGCCGCTGGAAAGGTCAGTGGTTGATGTGAGACGATTGCCAAGAGATAGACTCTAACAGATTTGCTGAGAGATAGACTCTAATAGATGAGAAAGACCAGAAGATATGAGATGGAGCAAATATCGGAGAACTGTGGAGAGAGACGGGTTGACGTCATCTTTTGCGGAGCAAATATCGGAGAACCATGGAGAGAGATGGGTTGATGTCATCTTTTGCACAGGTGGAGGAAAATTGTTTGATCTAATTCCCACTTGTGGGGTTGTGAGTTTGTGTGGCTGAGAGAGTCGGCTAGGTCGCTCAGAAAAATCTGCCTTTAAAAAAAAGTGTCCAGCTCCCTGAGGTTCTTCTGTTGGTGGGATCAAAATCTGACCTACACAGACCTTTCCAGCTTTCCCAGGATTTCTGATTTTAATGCCTTCTCCCTTAACTTAAACATCATCCCACTTGCACATAGTACACACTTCCCTTTCTCCAGCTCTTAATTCAGCAGCAGCAGCAGCAGATGTGTGCCCAGCTTCTTGCCCCTCTCTTCAACTCTCTCCCTCTGTGTACTCTTTGAATTAAAAAAAAAGAAGTGGGGAGTGTGTGGTGGCCCTCCAGATGTTGTTGGACTGGAATTTCCTTCAACCTTAGCCAGCTTAGCCAACGGTGAGGGACGCTGGGAGTTGCGGATCGGGCGATCTGGCCCCTTCTTTTTTAACTACTCCAGAAAGGGGACGTGACTAAGACTTCCTCTTTCTTCTCCTGCTCTGTCAGCTGGCAGTCTTTCCAGTCTGTTACATTATATCGGTCGACATATGTTTGCAATTTTTAACAAAGAATATTACTGTACAGAGAAATATTTTGCTATGGTTCTGAGAAAATATCTTTTTAGAAAACAGAATATACGATATTCCTTCACTTGAGGATTTGTTGTTGACTTTGTGAAGCAAATAGAGATATATTAAGTTTTAAAACAGGCCAAAAGCTTGAAGTGATGTGATTAAACATTGCTATGTAGTAGTAGTAGTAGTAGTAGTAGTAGTAGTAGTAGTAGTAGTTAGTAGTCTTTTTCCATTAACAGGTAACTCTTAATTGTTTATGTATTTTCTGTCAATCACTTACTGCCATCTAGTGGTAGCAAGAGATTTTCATTTTCATTCTATAATACGCTTTTAACTTGTTACTCTGTACTGTCCCATAGTTGTCTCTATATACCATTTCAAGTCCGGCAAGTCTTCCTGTGGCTCTCCTCTCCACTTGCTCGTAGTTAAAGACTACCAAGAGATCAAAGAAGGAATTCACAGAGGAAACGAGATCCACTTTCCATCTTTCTCTACTACCTAGTAGCTAGTAAGGCTGGTCCAAGATGCCTTTTGCCTGTGGCAAAAAAGATGTTCCTCACCTGAAACACACCATGGATGATTGCCGGTTTAATCTTTCTAGAACACTGACAATGGGGCTTTTTGCCTTTATTTTTAATGACCACCGGGAGCTCATGAGCAGAGCAGGCGGCATCCCACCATGAATTTTATGTGTGATGTTCATCGTAGCATGATCAGATCATTGTAGCAACACTTGCACAAATTGAGGGATTTCCCACAAAAGGAAAAGAAGAACCACACTGACGCTGCAACCTGTTCAGCCGATATCGCCAATCTATTCTAGCCAAAGAAACAAAAAACAAAACAAAATCTGACTCAGGGCTAGTGAAGCCAACTAGCCCTGAAGGTGTCCTGTTGACTAATTTGTTTGTTGCTGATTTCCCTTTCCCTGGTTTAATAAAGCATGTTGTTATTACTGACACTGAAGTCGACACCATGGATTTGGGAATAGAGGAGGGGCCCTCTGCCAACCCAGGGAAGGTTGGCAGGTCTCACGCAAACAGTATAAACACTGGAAGGGGATTAGGGAATAAAGAAACAAAAAGCAATATAATGCAAAGGACTACACAGTGTCTTATTTTTAAACAGGCAATTAAGACCCATTAGCTCCTGTGGAGATGAAAGCAGCCAGAACAGTTTTGTTACCCATTTGCCCACTTCTTTGTACTGTGAGCCCAGAGACCGCCAGGATGAGCATCTGGACTTCAAAATGTACCTTTATACTACGAGACAGAGCTTATATTTCATCTAGACAAATACCATACTTGCACCAACCCAAGAGTCAGAACAGCTAATGGCACTTTTCCCACAGAACTGGGTTAGCAAGGTGATGCCTCACTCTGGACTCATTTGGCAGCCAGTCCTCTTAGCAACTTGTCTTAACATAGAGCAAGTACAGTGGTGCCTTGCTTAGCGATTGCCTTGTTTAACTATGTATTTGCTTAGCGATGAGGTTTTAGGAGCGATCTTGTGCTCCGTTTAGCGATGTTTCCAATGGGGAAATTTCGCATAGCGATGTTTGGGACCATGCCTCGCATAACGATGACAGTTTGGGTCCCCCTGTTTTGCTCAGTGATGTCCGTTTTCGCTATTTGTAAAGTGTCTTAAAATGGTCAAAAACTGCTTAAAATGCTTGGAATTGTTAGTGCACCTTGTAAAACCTTTGCAAACTTAATTTGGCTTTGTTCTGAGTCTTCGTTAATTTTTGCTGAATTTTCCCCCCATTGAAATGCATTGAACTGTAGGTTTGACAGCTGTCAATGCATTCCAATGGGGGGGGGGAATTCACAAATTAACGAAGACTCAGAACAAAGCCAAATTAAGTTTGCAAAGGTTTTACAAGGTGCACTAACGATTCCAAGCATTTTAAACAGTTTTTGAACATTTGAAGAAACTTTAAAAATAGCGAAAACAGACCTGTCAAAACCATTGAAATGCACTGAAACCTATTCAATGCATTCCAATGGGGGAACCGCGTTTCGCTTAGTGATGTTTCCTATGGCGTTTTTCACTTAAGGACAGTAATCCGTTCCCATTGGAACGGATTATCCGGTTTTCAATGCATTCCTATGGGAAATGGTGTTTCGCTTAGCTATGTTTTCCCATAGCAATGTTTTTTTGGGAACCAATTAACATCACTAAGCGAGGCACCACTGTAATACGTTTCTTCAGGTAAATCATGAACTCGCCAAATCAAAGGTTGAGAGGATACAATGAGAAGACTTGACAGACAGAAATTTTAATCCTTTTTGTTTTATTTTTTAAAAAAACGACCATGAACAGATACATCTTTTTTTAAATTGCAACTTGAATGCCTGCAGCATTTTTTTTTCTTTTTCTGATTTACCTGAGTGTCAATGATAGTCAGGTGCTTGTAAGCAGCTCAGTATGTTTGTTTTGTTATGCAGTACCTTTCCTACTGTACAACCATGTGAACACAGTGGTCTTTATGTCTTGTAGAATATAACTGCGGAAGCGAAGGATAGCCATATCAAATCCTAAACTGATCAACAAAAATACTGATTTTTGTTGAAGCTGAGACTTGATCCTGTACCAGTGAAATCAGTAATACTTATAAATTAAATATTAAGTTAGCTTGAAAGGTACCACAAATCTAACTGTATGCATGGCTTAGATAATCTTTCTTTATATATAATCTCTGAAACTCAAATAAACTTTTTTTAAAAAGCCTTGTAATTTTAATGCACAAATAAAAAAACTTTCATTTGTTCTCCAAATAAATCTGACCTCCTAAATTCACAAATGTTTACATTCTAGGAATCGTTAAAGTTTCTGACATAGCCAGAAATTTTGATGTTGTCAATACAGAAGTTTAGGCGGCAATCATATACCCATTTACCTAAGAGTAAGTCTCACTGAATGCAGTGAGACATTCTTCCAAGTAGACACATATAGGATTTTGCAGTTCATCCCTGAATATTAATATGTGCAGAAGAAAGCCATTTTGATTAAACATCGGCAAATTGGTTCTGACTTGGAATGTTCCATTTCTGGTCATGTAGTGAGGAATCTGGCCCTTCTCCAGAGCAATATATAGCTATCTTAATATGCAAGTTCCTTGCAAGGAGCTTGAGACTGATGTGTCTTCTTAAATGTAATTTTTTTCAGGAACCAGACTCAGTTGACAAGGCCACTTGTGGGATCAAAAATACACTTAGAAGTGCAACATGAGTAAGCTGCCCAAGTGATCAGATCAGCCAACTATACAGGAGGATTACATGCAAAGCTAACAGTTCATAAGAGATGGAAATTAGTGAAGAGCCATCTGTTTCACAGAAGTCACATTTATCCTTTTCACAAAAGGTACAAGATGATAAACTCTGCATCACTTTGGAGTTATAGCTTCTCACGGCCCTTCTCCCTGTTGTAAAGAGAATGGGAAACCATGTTCAGTGTACTAGTTGTTTGTTCTCATCCTATCTCAACAAATTTTAGTTTGATATATTTATATATTGCCCACACAAATGCCTAAAATGCTACTTTTATTTTATTTTATTGATAAAAACAGATTAAGATAATCAAAAACCACCAAGTAAATGGTAAGTGGCCTTCAAACCACTGGTTTTTACTGGTTTCTTTCTATATTGTGAAGCCAAATCACGGCATGTATAGCCTTCTTTTTGTTCTTTTGAAATGCCAGGGCAAACGCTTCAAGTGGCATAAACTGAAAGAATTCCATTATCTTCATGTTGACATGAATACCCACACACAACTATCAATGAAATTAAAATTATTTACCTATTGATTTCAGTAATGCCTGTGTATCACACACCACCGTCAGTGCCTCATCAATTTACTGTTCTTTCCTATTTTCTCTTATTTCAACTCTGTATTACAGCACTAAAGAGACTTAGCAAAAATTATTGTCACTTACTGGGTTCATAATAATCCAACACAGTTACAGAGGCATCCTGAACATTTGCCACTTTGAAGTCTCTCACAGCTGGAATATCAACACAAACTTGTGTTTCATTTAACTACAAAATAAAGAAGAAAACATCTGAAGGGCTGTATGTGATTCAGAAATAAAGGCATGTAACCAAATAAATGTTGAATGAATATCTTAGTTCATTGTTTCTAAAAATAATACCAATTAATGCCTCTTATCTATCTATCTATCTATCTATCTATCTATCTATCTATCTATCTATCTATCTATCTATCTATCTATCTATCTATCTATCTATCTATCTATCTATCTATCTTATCTATCATCTCTTTCAATATATATACAGTATATATAGTTTGCTATTATCTGCGGTTTACAGTATCCGCAGGGACCTGGAACCAATCCCTAGCGGATATGGGGGTCCCACTGTATTTTATTTAAGAAAAAAAACTGAAGAGGGTTACAACAAATCTACTTGATAGCATACAATTATTATGACTGTATGTTAACAGCTTTTGAGAATTTTCACTCACAAAAATGATTTCCTTATATATTGACTTACAGAATCCAAATATAAATGAATTTTGCCATCATTTTTCTCCACCTTCTTAATTGGCTCATTAACTGACACAAAATGTGGTGACAGAGAGAAACCGCTCAGTAATCCAACCTCTATGAGAGCCATACCGCTCCGTGAAGATGAACCTGTACCCAAATATCTGATGTCAACAAAAGCAAGAAATGGGATAAAAATGAATGCGTGCAAACATTCTATTGTAAATTGTCAATGCAACAATGCTAAAAGTATGGGGCAGTTTAACCACTTACCTCATTGGACGTCCCAATATGCTTTGTTTAAGACTGAACCCACAATACTCACAGTGTACCCTACAACATGACTGTATGTAGAAATTTTGTGTATGATTTTCCACCTTGAAAAAAGACATATACACAGTGTGCACTTCTACAGTGTGCATGGGAGAATCCAGTTCACCACTGATCTAAACTGAGCTCAATAAACTAATGTTACAATTGCCTAGCAAATGGTAACTACAGAGTGTACTCCAGTCCAAGAAGAAGGGACCATGCTCAGGCTATCAGCCATCCTTTCAGACACCTGTGCTTCACTTCATTCAACACTAGAGTGACAGTAAAATCTGGAGCTTATTAAGATGATATTTCTCTGATACTCTGCAACACTGTAGTTCCAGTTGTTAACCCAGCACAAATAATTCTGATGGGCAATAGTTGATGGACATCGGATCTCAAATTTTGTACAGAATTTAGCTAACAATGCAATCCTTCTACAGAAGTCTACTCAGAAATAAGTCCCACAAATGTCAGGTGGTATGGGCATCTGTGACAACCATCTAAATCAGTGGTTCTTAACCTTTGTTACTCTGATGTTTTTGAACTGCAACTCCTAGAAACCCCAGCCAGCACAGTTGGTGGTGAAGGCTTCTGGGAGTTGCAGTCCAAAACTCCTGAGTAACCCAAGGTTAAGAACCAGTGATCTAAATGAACTCATTCATTTAATGCAGCCTCTCGAGTATCCCCACAACCACCACTACACCTCTCAGTAGCGCTTATGAAAACCACCTTTTTCAAAACAGTAATCCCACAGTACAATACATGTCTGCAAACCACATAATAATGCCAACACATAGCAAGGCTTAGGAAAACATGTCTGAGGCTTTAACATTCTATGAGGTAACACTTGAGCATTCTCTGATGAAAAGAACCGTGAAATAGGTGACAGAAAGTTTTGCTTGGCATGAATGGGAAAAACCACAACTATTACCATTTTGAATACCTGACAGTAGTTATAAGTAATTGAATAGAACTGTATTTCTTATTATTATTGGGAAAATTTTCAAAAGAGGGAGACTTGATTTTCGAAGCAGCACTCCCAGGCCTGCCAGCATGGCTGATTAAATACAGATATGGCCTTAAAAGAAATTCAGTACAACTGCTGGCTGAGGTTAGTTCCTCAGATTAAAAGGAAGCAAAACCATCTGTGGGATGATTTCCCAGGCCAAAGTAGCTGCTATTGCAAACAAATAAAAAGATTGGAACTGGATGTAATTATGTCTGCACTGCAATTACAGATGGGAAGAAACCTCTGATCATTACAATCAAGGTATAACTGTTTTCTACCAAAAAAAAAAAAAAAAGGTATGAAGAGTGTGTCGATGTTGTGACTGAGAGACAAGAGGGAGGAATCAGCATGTTTGGTGGAACCTCCAGTTTTCAAAGAAGCACAACAATTCTGTAACAAACAAACAAAAACCTAAGCGGGGTGTTGTAAAGATACCAACACAATCTGAGTATGCTTAGAATATTGAGGGGAAGAACATGAAGGATGATGGTAGAAGAATACCCCTCTAGCTCATCCAGGAAGCTACTGAAAGGACCTTAAAAAACTAATCTATCTCACAGAGTTGTTGAGGATAAAGTGAAGGACCATGTTGGACCTCTGTGACCTCCTTAGATAAAAAGCAGAACAAAAATGGAGGAGGAGGAGCAGAACCACCACTAATACAGTACATAACAGAGCCTGTGCCCACTCACCCCACTATCTGTTTCTTGAATGAAGCAGCTGGATGGGGATAAGAAATGTTAGACACGCAGACAAGACTGTAAAATATTGTCTGTTCTTACCTCATTCATATTCACTACAGCCCACAGAAAGATACAAATAAACTCATTTTACAAATGAGAAACATTTGTAAAAGGTGATTACCCAGAATTTTCCTAGAAACTGGCTAATATATTAACTGAATCCCAACGGTTCATAAGTTAAATCGTGCTTATTCTAAAAGAAAATCCAATTCCAAAGCACAACACCCCTAAATTATAGACAAAAATACCTCTAACATTTATTCTATGTATGTTGAGTCAGCCATCTATAAATAAGTGGGGTGGGGCATAGCAACCTATTATGCCTGTTTAAGAATACACAGTGAGTCTGAATGCATACATCTCAGCAGAAGGCATGCATGCTAACGGTGCTTATGTAAAAAGAAACTAATTTGACTGGCATGGCAGGAGATGAACCTAATTCTAATCCCCTTGGATACAATGGGTAATTTTTATGCTTTAGTTACTAGAAAGCCCCGTAAGATGTAAGATTCTTCACTGTAGGGTATTAACTGTAGGGTATTATTAATCATCTGCTCAAGTATGTTATTCCTAATGTTTTTGTTTTACACAGAGTTTTGATCCCCTTGAAATGATATAATGTATGCGTAACGTAAAAGAAAACCCCAAATAGTCTTTAAACAAAAGAGGAAGTGGGCTGGAGTCACATATTTACTTACTTGGTGCAGACATTCAGTGTCATATGGTTTATATCTTTTTTGTCATCCTTTACAATGACATTCAAGTCAAAGGCTTCTTGACTTTGTGCTGATCTCCGCCTCCGGCTATCATGTGAATTTTTCACATTGTACATAATATTGAGCTATAAAAATATAAGCAAACATCAAAAATTGGTGATGACAGTAGAGTATATATAAATGGAGTAGTGTCATTGTATAACAGTTCATGGAAAAATGATGATAGAGCTTCAGAAAGTACAGTGGTGCCTTGCTTGACGAGGATAATCCGTTCCAGCGAAATCGCTGTACAGCTAAATCCTTGTCAAGCGAAATAAAAAAGCCCATTGAAATGCTTTGAAAACCGATTCAATGCGTTCCAATGGGCGAAATACCTCAGCGTCCAGTGAAGATCCTCCATAGGGTGGCCATTTTCCGATGCCTGTGCAGTGAAAAATCCATCCTAAAGCACAGCGGGGAGCCATTTTCCCCAGCGGGTGGCAATTTTGAAACCCGACGATCAGCTGTTTTGATTGTCCTAATGCGAAGAAGAATCGGTTCCCGAAGCAGGGAACGGATCGTCGGGAAGCGAATTTTGCCCATTAAAACATCATTTTGCAATCGCAAAAACCTCATCGTCAAGCAGATTCATCATGTAACAAGATAATCGTTAAACGAGACACCACTGTACATAAGGTTATATGTAGGGCAGTCTAGATTCTGAATCCCAAAAAAGGTTAAAAGTATAGCAGATTTTCAGCATCAACATTTGTCATATAATATTTTGAAGTAATCTAGTATGTAAAAGGAACAAGGCCACTTATGCCCATGGAGGAAAGACATATACCTATTTTGTGAATATATTTTTATGTTAAGACACTATTTGCCCATTACTTTACATATGTATAGCATCATCTTGTCATCTTTTGAAAGCAACATCAAGTAAACATCCAGACAGGGAGTGTTGGAGTGGCCTGGTTCATGTTTAAACGATTCTTATCATTAGTGTGATTTATTTTCTCTCACACCTGAGCAATCCTTCCATTCACAATGATCAATATTTTTTTTCTCCCATGTCAAGAGTCCAGTTGGGTCGTTGGATCAATTACTTCCCCCCCTCCAACTTCTCCATGGCCATCATTCAGCGGGCTGTAGCAGCTTTCTTTTTTAATTGTTGTTAAATAAAATGTGACAGTGAAACAGCAATGCAACTACTATAACTAGCATGCTAGTGTAACAACACACACACACACACATACACACATACACACACACACACACACACACACACACACCATGCCTGGATTTGCCATTCATTTATGCTACTTTCCTCAGTGCAAACATGCTACATCAAAATGCACATCCACTAATCCAAAGTGGCAAAACACGTGTTCTAAAATGAAAACCCGCAGACCCTAAGGCCTTAAAAGTGTTTCATCAAGATCCTGAAAGAATACTGATGGTCAAACGTGCTTTATCCTCAGTAGAGACATGCTGTGAATTTGGTCAAATCAAGCTGGAAGTGAATCAGCAATTTGTCATCACCCAAACACTATTGTTTCAATATTTGCCAAGAAAAGCAAAAGGGTAAGAATTTACCAGCAACATAGGGACATCTGAAGCAACATCTGAAGCAACATGCTTAAATAAGCATTTTACTGGAATATGTTTCGTGTTTAGTTTTCCATTACCGCCTGCTCGGGAAAAAAGGAGTCCATGCAGCAAAATGGTTACAAAGGGATAACTGAAGCTTCTTTACCTGGCTGTAATGTCAACTCAAGCTGTACACTAGACAAAGCATGGCTCATTATCCCAAACAGAGGGCATTTAACCAATACATTTTGGAGGACACATCTATACATCAGTGTACACATCCAGTGTACAGTTACTTGATGATAAAATGGCAGGACAAGCTGCAGACAGATTGATGCCCACACATGCCAGGATTTGTGGGGGCTGCAAATTCAGGCCACTGAGAGTTCTTTGTATATTACATGCACATTTGCTAGTCCATATACAGATACACATCTTGCCTTTAGATTCCACTTCCATATTTTACAAGCACTCTTCATTGTGCATCTTTTGCTTTCATAACTAAATGTGATATTGTGTGAGCATCTACCAGAGACTGCCTATGGCTGAAAGAGTGACAAACGTGATCTGATGCCTCTTCCTTCTGTATTTTACATTGCTGCAGTTTTGTTTGTTTGAATTTCTTGAGTTGGGGCTGGTTTCCTGTTGCCTAATTTCCAGCACTAAAGTGTTCTTCCAGCCCCCCCTCCAAAGTCAAAGACTAAGGACTCAATCACACATGCCAAAAGAAAGCCAGTTACACCGATTCTGCCATTTTTATGGTTTCCTGTTGCCTAATTTCCAGCACTAAGGTGTTCTTCCAGCCCCCCCCCCATGTCAAAGACTAAGGGCTCAATCATACATGCCAAAAGAAAGCCAGTTACACTGATTCTGCCATTTTTACAGTCATTTTAACATTTTCTGTTCATACAAAACACGGCTAACATTGGTTCATTTTGCCAGCCATACAGTTTTTTTCCACCTTTCTGGCATTTTATTTTAAAATGTACCAATTGTGTAGTGCTTCAATCTATACCATTTCAGGATGTGTGAACATATCTATCGATTTATTTTCTTTGCCTTGCTGTCCGGCTGCTGGGCACTGTGGCAACTGTACGGCCACCTTGCTTTTTTTTCATGATAGGTAAATCGCTTGCAAGGCTCTTTCTGCTTTATCGATATATGACTTGTGATTTTTTTAAAAAAGGGAGTTGGGGCGGTGTTGCCCCAGGAACATCGCGAAAAATAATTTTTAAAAAAATAAATTACCTGTATAATCTATTAAAGTGGTTCAAATAGCTGGAAAGGTAACATTTCAATTCAAAACAATGTGATCAACTGATATATATTGTGTGTGTGTATGTATGTATTTATTTATTTATTTATTTATTTATACACACATACACACACATACCATGGGACCACATGTAAAAATGTATTGATTCCTAAAGAGCATGAAAATGAAATGATTCTTTTGGCATGTGTGATCGAATCCTAAGAATGCTCCATATAATCTGTTTTGTATGTTAAGGGTAGGATCAGATGGCTGGAAGGGTGTGAGCCAGAAAGGATCACTTTGCAGAGAGAGATCTTCCTTAAAGCAACTGTTCTATCTGCTGAGGAATCACTCTAAACTGGCCCCCCAAAGTAGTAGCCCTACAGCTAGACCAAAAAAAGTCCATCTTGGGCACAGATTGGGTCAGGCTGGAGCACATTTCCCCAAATGCCATGTGATCACCAAGAAACAGATTACGCCAGACCACACCATAAGCTATCCAAAATGCAATCTCTTTCCCTATGTGATTACATCCTAAGCGTTAATCATTGGTCAATGCGCAGGGGGGCATTTTGTACCAAATATTCTGTTTGTTACATATATTACAATTATAATACATCTAATTCCGGTTATCAGAGGTTGTTTCTCTTTTTAACCCAATTCTTTAAAGGCTGCCGCATCACATCTCCTGTGCTAAATGAGCAACCAGCTAAAAATAACAAAAAGGACAAATAATTCATGCATATCCTCACGTACAGACCAAATGCCACAAAACTGAGGCTACATAGTTAGTAACTTTTTTGGGTCATAAGGTTTTAAGTACAGCACGAGGCTCTCTGACGGTATGGGTAACTCAGGATTCTAGAAAGAGGTTCCTGTCCCTCTTTCAAATATACATGGCAGAAAAGGATCAAGAATTGCAGCTCCCCCCGTTACGCTGATGAAGTGACAGGACAAGCTGCATTTCTTGGCTCACTCCTTCCCTCTAACTATTGAAAGCAAAGGTACAGCCTTCAAGGCCAGTCACGGGCAACTTTATTAAGCAACTAAAAATCCTTTTGGCAGTAGGCTCCACAATATTCCATCTGAAATGTGTCAAGTATTTGGAAAACTTCCTGCAAGTCCAGGAATCCTTTTGCTCCCCCATGTTTACCCTTAAGCTGGGATCATAGCAAACAGATGTTTGGATGTAGGTATATGTGAAATTGTTATCTTCAGCAGGAGTCTTCTTGGTAGTAATTTTTTTTTGGCAGTGGAACTGGGCTTTGGGAAGGAAAGGGAATGCTAACTAGCTTGCACCCCCACCCCTAAAAACCCTGAGTCTCAGCACCTGTGAAAATGGGTTGGGAGATGCACAAGTCTTAGAACATCAGATTAGTATTGTCCCAAGGGGGTCATGTGAGTTTTCACTATATAAAGTGTTGGCCTTTCTCTGTTGAGAAAACCCAAAGTATATTTTACTGTTTAACTTAGTTAAATGAAATCAAAACTTTAATTCCAAAACAAATCTGCCCATCTTTAATTAAGGCAACAATAGATGTTATTAAAATAAATCTGGAATCATTCCTTTTTGCAGCAGGTATCATGGATCAGCTGCTAGCATCCAAAACAGAAAAAGAGGTAGTTGGGTTTTTTTTTAATGCATCGCTCATTGCCAAAATGCTCAGCTAGAACAGTACATTTAGCCATAAGAGTTTAATTAAGCATCCTTTCTGTCAGCCAAGAGGACAGATTGTAAGTTTATCAAGAACTGCCACAAAGAATAAAACAACCCTTTTAAAAATGTTTTATCCAAGCTAAGTGCAGTTTCAAATAGATCGAGGCCCAAGTAATACAGTATAGACATTCAAAAACTTCTAAGAAAGAAGAACAGATGCAAGATAGTTGGGAACTAAAAGTACACAGGGTCTTCTAAACATCTGCCACACAGGAAAAAAATGAGTGTTCTATATTATTTGAAATTTAGTCCACCGCTATATTATTTGAAATATAGTAATAAATAACCAGACATTACCCACAAAGCTCAAGGAAAATCACAAGCCAGGTTACACTGGACTGCAAAAGAATGCCACTAGCAGCCCTGCGCCCAGTACGACGCACTTCTAAGCACTTCCTCAGCAAACTTGTTTGTCAGCTGCCTAGTGTTGGCTGTTGTTGTTTAGTCGTTAAGTTGTGTCCGACTCTTCGCGACCCCATGGACCAGAGCATGCCAGGCCCTCCTGTCTTCCACTGCCTCCTGGAGTTGGGTCAAAGAATGTTGGCTACAGTAGTATAAACAAGAATTTGCAACACAATGCT